CTGAATTATACCTTCTCACAAACCCGAGCTTTCTGTTTATGTTTGTGTTATTTGCTAAGATTGCCGATCACAAGAAGAAACTTTTCGATAATCTGACTGGTAAAGCAGAAAAAGTGCTGGAGATTGGGGTCGGTACAGGTCCTAATCTGAAGTACTATGCCCATAATGAAAATGTATTTGTTTACGGTATGGACCCAAATCAGAAAATGGAAAAGTATGCATGTGAATCTGCTAAAGAAGCTGGTCTGAAACCTGAAAACTTTAGATTCATGCAAGGAGTAAGTCAGCTTGGTAAATATCTGTTTGATTTTGAGTCCTCTCCTTTTATATATATTCCACTGATGTTAGTTCTGTGTTGATCTTGTCACTCGCTAGGTAGGAGAAGCTATACCATTAGATGATAACTCTGTGGATGCAGTCGTTGCAACACTTGTTCTATGTTCTGTCTCTGATGTCACTCAAACACTTAATGGTAATTTCTCAACTTGTATTTATTCACTAGCAATCTTGAAATTTTCATAAACCCATAAGAGATCTCATCTCATTTGATAATATTCTGAACTGACCGTTATTTTCAGAGATCAAGCGGGTACTGACACCGGGAGGGATTTTCCTATTCATCGAGCACGTGGCTGCGGAAGGTATACACAGTTTCACATCATAGCCTTTGAAATCAAACTGTAAGACAAATATGAAGTTTTGTTTTTGGGGTTGCAGATGGATCTATTTTCAGGCATGTTCAGAATGTATTGGATCCATTACAGCAAGTAGTTGCAGACGGATGTCATTTGACAAGAAAAACCGACTTACTCATTTCAGCTGCCGGTTTTGATGGTGGCACAAAGATCAAGACCACGGCAATCTATAGCTTCCCTTGGATAATAAGACCTCATGTTTATGGAATAGCTCACAAGTAGGTTCATGAGTTATTCAATTTCGTTTCTTAGTGCCAAATGATTCTCTCAATATTTGAAAATCCTTTTGTATTATGCCTACTCTTTGTTGTAACACGAGTCTCATGTCCCTTTGCGGATTTGAGGCAATTGGTTTGGACCTCTTTCAATATATATATATATTTGGGTTACAATCTAGGGGTATTAAAGCGGGCTAACGCGCACCACGATTTTAGTCTTTTAGAG